TTTCCAGCCATGAGGGTAGGACAACAGGGTTTCCTGCAACAAAGTCTATTGGGAATTTTTAGAGTTACTATGGAGCAAAATATTTTATTTTACTTCCTTTGAGGACACATGTTAATATTGTACTCTTATTATTTTCATTGTTTCTTTTCATGTGTGCAAATACGTGTGATTCATAGAGCAAGGTTCTACAAAACCCAGCTGAAATGTCACCTCTTCTTGAAGTTTCCCATAATTACTCAACTGCTAAATGTTCTTTTTTTTTTTTTTAGCTCCTATGGCAATCTATACATACTTTTATCCCAGCACTTATCACCGTGTGAAGTAACTATTCATTTAAAGGTCATTCCCATTTGGAAAATAAGTCTTTCAGAGTGCAGACTGTGTGGGATGTGGTAAACATTCTACAAAGCTCACACTAGGACCCTCTATTAAAGAAGTAATCAGTCAAAATGTCAATAGTTCCGCAGTTGGGAAACACTGAGTCCCAGAAATCTTTGTAACAGCAATATCCACATGGTACCTGCCATAACAATCACAAACTGAGTGAATGAATGCTCAGAAAAGGACACTACTACCATAAAAATGCCATGAGTTCTATTTTATTTATCTGGCAAAGCTTTACTTATTTGTATCCTGAGGGAATTAAAAACGTATTTCATATGTTCATCTGAAAGGAACATTTTTTGGACAATTTGACAGAATGGTTATAGTTTAGCAGCTAGCACATGATCAAGAAAAGCAATAGGCTATGTTACAGACTGGATAAAATCTTGGGGTAAAAACAGTCCATTTGAAGGGTGTGAAACATAAGAAATAATATTGAATGACATCTTCAAAGACAAAAGTAAAAATGTAGTCATCTTAAAGATATAAAGTCATATTGGACAGATAACTTCAAAAACAGAAGTGAGAATGTAATGATGAAAGAAAACTTTGGTGATAACAATTAAACAATGATGGAAACTAAGAGCATAAAAAATAAAATGAGATAAAATTAAAGTAGAAGAAAATATATTTTAAGTAACTTAAGCTTCAGAAATAGTTCAGAACACCTCATGGGACAGAAAACTTTCTTGGTATACTAGAACAAGAAAAAGAAAAAATGTTGCCCATTCAAAAGAATGGAAAAGGGATGGTAGGAAGCTAGAATTTACATTTAAAATGTAGTTCCCTGGGTATGAATTTATGAAGCACAGTTTTCAAAGGCAGTAGCCTAAAACTAAAAAGAAAAAGGCTTAGTGGTGGCATAGAGGTTACCCATCTTGCCACAAAAGGAATCACACTCGAACAACAGTAATAGAAATGTAAAAAATACTCACTTTTTTCTACATTGTCTTAGAGACCCACACTAGAGAATAGTGTTCAACCCTGAGTGCCACCTGGTCATCAGAGGTTCTGTGATCTAAATGGTATATCAATTCTGTTGTTGCCAGGCAAGATAGCCCCAGATAATATATTAACAAATAAGCTTAGATGTGTTCCATAATTCTTTTTTTTAAATATATTTGTATTGATTTCAGAGAGGAAGGGAGAGGGAGAGAGGGATAGAAACATCAATGATGAGAAAGAATCATTGATCAGCTGGCTGTCTCCTGCATGCCCCTTACTGGGGATCATGCCCCAAACTCGGCCATGTGCCCTGACCTGGAATCGAACAGTGATCTCCTGGTTCTTGGGTCAAGACTCAACCACTGAGCCACACTGGCTGGGCCATAATTCTTTATTTACTATAAAATGAATGAAAATAGGTAAATCCTTTAACTAATGCAATTTGTTTTAGGATACCCAAGTACAAGGTGTAACTCATTTATTCATTTAATAAAATTAATTTTGTCTTGGTCATCAATCACTGGAACTAGGGGGAAAAAATCTGCTCTCAAGTTTATACAATATCCTCCTAGGAGACCGTGAGAACCACCAAGTTCATAGAATCCAGAAAATTGTGGAAGGGCCTCTGGTCTTCAGGTCATGGTGGCTCTCACTAGAATATTTGTTGAAAAAAATCTGCTCTCAAGTTTATACAATATCCGGGAGACCGTGAGAACCACCAAGTTTATAGAATCCAGAAAATTGTGGAAGGGCCTCTGGTCTTCAGGTCATGGTGGCTCTCACTAGAATATTTGTTGCCTAAGGCCACAGGGCCAAGTCACATGCAGGTGGCTCTGCTACCCCTGTGCTCATTTCTCACTCACTGGCCACACTTGGCCACTGGATCCTTCTCCTTGACTCCCAAGGCCTTGATGCTCATTGTTTGCTTGTTGCTAGAAACAAGATTTGCAAGAATTTGCCATTCTTTAATGTTTCCAGGCCCAGAAGAAAATCTAATTTTCTCTTCTTGTGGCCCAGCCACTTTTCCCACTAGATGCATCTATTCAGTGGCATAGATTTGGCAGGAGGCGAGGCAGATGTTCTCTTAGATGTTGCCCACAAGGTTGCACAACATCTGGATGGCTGGATTGCTGAATGGCTGGCAGTCCCTCTGAGCATCTTAAAGCGTATTTTAAGGTCTGGTGGAGAAAGGAGGCATGTACACATGAAAAAACTAATAATTCAAGAAATTAAGTGGTAAATATCAAATAAACCCTGGAAAAGGAAGCAAATGGTATGTGTATTTTAAAAAAGGAGATATAATTTTTAGGTGGAGTAGACAAGAAATATTCCACTTATTTTTTAAATATTTATTTCCAGGCAAGACTTTTATCTGAGCTCTTTTCTCTCTATTCTCTCTCTCTCTCTCTCTCTCTCTCTCGCTCTCTCTCTCTCTCTCTCTCTCTCTCTCTCCCTCTTTCTCTCTCTAACTCTCTCCTTCCCTCCCTCATACCTGCCCTCCCTTTTTCACACACACACACACACACACATTTTCCCTAATAAAGGTCTCTCACATTCACTTCAAAGTCACTATAGTATTTTAAATAGCATTCACTACATCCAACCTATCTCCACCTTAGATCCACTCCATTCCAATATTCCCACAACTGCTACTCAATCAAGAAATTATCTTTAATTTTTCCTCTTTTTTACCTCCCACATCCAATTGGTCATCATCATTACCACATGGTTTTCAGGGGCATTTTTTTATTTAGTCTCTTTGCTAGCACATCCTCTCACCATTATCCACACCATTCCAAGCTACTGGAGTGAGCTTTATAAAATACAAGTCTGGTAAGTCTTTGCTCTCTAAATTTTAAAGGTTTTATTGCCTTTAAACTAAAACTCAAATTCCTTGGCCTGACATGTATGACCTTATGATCTAGCCCTTTCGTACATTTTATTCCTGATTTCTTATTTTATTTGTCTCATTTTTTTATTATTTCTTACTATTGTTACTAACCTGCTGTTTCTGAAATAGGCTATGATCTTTTAACAAGTCACTTCAGTCCTACCTTTGATCAAAACCTTTCAAAGACCCTCCATCTTACTCAGAATCAAAGCCAATGTCTCTATTGGGCTGTTAAGATGCGCTTTTATCTAACTCCTCATTATCATCTCCTTACTCTCGCTCTCCCTCTCCCTCACTCTGCCGCAGCCACACTACGCTCCTGGGATGTCTTCAAGCAAGTAATATGTTCCTGCTTTAGAGTTGATGCACTGGAATGCTCCTTCATTTCTTTTAAGCCTCGGCTCAAATTTTGTCCTTTTGAGTAATATCTATCTGACCCCCCTATTAAAAATTGCAATCCTCCATGTAAATTCTTACTGTGTGCCTTGACTATTTGAGTTTTCTCCATAGCATTTATAACATTCTAGTATATTATTTTATTTTACTTAACATTAATTGTAATCCTTCTCCCCCCCCCCCCCACTACCACTGCAATATAAAGTCCTTTTGGGCAGGAGTTTTTGTCTCGTTTACTTGTTGCTGTACCCAGACCTCAGAAGATTGTCTGGTACATGGTCTTTCAATAACAGTTGCTGGGTGAATAAAGGGTACACACAGATTTGCATTTTGGAGTACCTGACAGTGTCTGGATTACACTAGTATTTCCTTTAATGCTCATAAAAGCCCTGTAAGATAATTGCTATATCCATTCTAAAGATGAAGGCACTAAAATTTCTAAGATTTGAGTCAATGATGTCTCCAGAATTTCTGTGTCGTCAGCATATATAAGGACAGGATTCTGGTCGGTGGAGAAGTAAAAATTTGACACTCAGAAATACACTATCTTTACTTCTGTTGCATGTTGTACCTGAGAGTGGCTTGAGAAACGCTGATGCATATAGCATGTGCTAAGGTATCTCTCACCTTTGGCAGCATCTCTTGCCCAAGGTTCTGCAATTATTCAGAGCATCCAAGCCAATATGTTTAGGAGACAGTGAATATAACGTTTGTCTATAGCAGAAGCTCATGTAGGGAAGTAGAAAATGACAAGATTGATGGTGCTATTGTGTCTATATTGTGGCTTTTTAGAATGCTCTGCTAGGAATTGGGCTATCATTGGTTCTCAAACCTGTGGTGACTTAAAAATATAGTTGTTCGAAACTATACCTCCTACTGGTATAGATGTTTAACAAGCTTCCCAGGTTTTTATAAAGCAGCCAACCCTGCCCTGACTGGTTTGGCTCAGTGGATAGAGCATTGGCCTGCGGACTCAAGGGTCCCAGGTTCGATTCCAGTCAAGGACATGTACCTTGGTTGTGGGTACAGCCCCAGTAGGGAGTGTGCAGGAGGCAGCTGATCGATGTTTCTCTCTCATTGATGTTTCTAACTCTCTATCCCTCTCCCTTCCTCTCTGTAAAAAATCAATAAAATATATTTTTAAAAAAAGCATCCAACCCTGCACTCTAACTAGACTGGCATTTGGGTACATGGTAAACTGCTAAAGGTTTTCAGGTGGCAGTTTGCATAGGTTACTGTTATTTGCAGTTTGATTCTTGCTGGAAAGCACCCCTGTTGCTGTGCACTGTACAAACAGGGAAATCTAACAGGGAGGTGGGTGAGATGTTCTGGAGTAATGTGTCATGCTTTGCCTCACCATGGTATTTTTCTCCCTCTGTTACAGGTCAATGCACAAACTGGCCCAGCTGGAAAGACTTGACCTAGGAAATAATGAATTCAGTGAGCTGGTAAGCGAATGCGTTTTCTAAACTTGATAAATACACCCCAGGAGATTTTTTTTCTTTGTCCTTGTAGCTCCAGGTATCAAATCAGCAAGTGTACATTTGCATTTGCTAAATATAAAAACAAAATAAAATCTGGGGATTAAAATAATTGTTTGGCTCTATAGTAAGCTACAGAGACCT